AGTAGCTGTGTACACCACTTTAAAAGAACAAATCCAGCCTGTGTGTACTCTCAGGTATTTGGGGAAGTCAACTCGTGTTACACTGAATGCAGTCCGTGCTACAACAACAACCATCCCAACCAACACGTTGGCTACAATAAGCATAAAAAAATACATAGCACATGCAAATATGAGGTAAAACAGTCCTGAACTATTAAATTTATATGTTTTCAGTATTTAATTGTTAAAGTGTGTATTTTTACAGACACTTGTCTCATAAGATTCCACTGAGCTCATATGTAAATGTGGCTCCCTTCTCAGTGAATGATAGCCTAGATGTGATTCAAATTTGGCTACAACAAGGTTTCTTGGGAGGCAGCATAATTAAGTTGACCCTGTATTAAATAGAGTATTATTTATTTCAAAAATATAAATTATTCATTAAATAAAATCTTGTTTTAGGCACGGACTACCTTCTGAGCATTAAATCCATCAGTCTTTAGAGTCAGAGAGGTTGTTTTACCGCAGGTCATGTAGACACTCTCTCCTCTTGTGTCTTGTGTTTGCGATACACACATCCATTCTTTATTCAGCAGTTGCCTTGGAGCAATCTGAGGTTAAATGCCTCGCTTGATGGCACAATTTTTGATATGTCAGCACCACGACCCTCAGCAATTCTTTGCTTTTCATGTTGGTGGCCCAGATTTTCAACTTACCACACAAAACATCAATGCAATTACAAAAACACATATGAGCTATTTCACAATTTTTAGTGAGATAATGCCTCACTTTGGATCAAAAACTTCAACCCACAACTAATAAATAATACATCGCTATAAATGATTCAAAAAGTAGCACTTTGCTGCAGTTTTAGTCCTTTAGATTTCCCAAAAGCTGAAATTGTTTATAAAAATACACAATCCTGATGTTTTTGAAGATGCAAAACCATGAAACGGCTCTGCTACACGATGCAATCACAGCCAATTAGAAGAAATTTGATGTTTAATGAACAGTTAAAGGGATAGTTCATCCAAAAATTTTAATTCTGTCAGTAATTAATCACCCTCATGTTGTTCCAATCCCATAAGACTTTCATTCATTTTCGTAACACAAATGAAGATATTTTTTGCTGCCTTAGATTTTTTAAGTACAATCAACTTGGATGTTTAAGCCATTTCAACTTAAATTAGAATAAAATTGCTTTTAAAAAAGTAGTTTTTGTGTAACTTGTAAAAAAAAAAAGTGGAAAATATTTTATTTTATTTTGATGTAAGTAATGTAAAAACATGTTTTAGAACTTATTGATCATATCATTTTTTTTTTCAGTCAGTAAACAAACTAGGGACCAACCTGAGCAGCAAAAAAGGGTGTGACAGTTAACATGTTACAGTAAACAAAACCAAATTAAAATCCAAATTAATTATACCCTATATATATATATATATATATATATTATAATAATAATCAAATAATGTTTGTCATTGTCACACCATGGTCTCTGTTTGTGTTTTTGCCGTTCCCACCTTAGTTAATTTGTTGCCTGTTAATTTGATTTCATCATTATGTCAGGTGTGTGTTTTCGTGTATCACCTTTACTTATATTCAGTTCTCTTTGTGTTTCATGCTCGTCAGTATTTGAGTTGTGTTTGACTGCTCGTGAATTTAAAAAAAAGTGTAGTGCGTTCGACATTATAATACCTGTTATTCTAAGTTTTGTTTTTTTTTTGGCAGCATAGCCTGTTTATATTCACCAATAAATTATGCACTATTTTGCACTTGCCAAACAATAATGTCACAACAGAATAGCGTAATCATAAATATTGCATGTGTTTGTTGCAGCTGCATGCATTTTTGTATGTGTTTGTGAGAGTATTTATGTGTTTGAGAGAGGACTGGGGAAATACAGTGTCTGTATGTTTGCTGGTTCCTGTGTGTGTGTGTGTGTGAGAGAGAGAGAGACAGAGAGAGAGAGAGAGAGAGAGAGATCTTCTCTCAGGGCGCAGTGGATATCCTGACATCCTGCTGTTATCTCTATTCCCTCTCTCTCACTCTCATTCACACGCTGAATGGGCTCGCGACTGGGTTCCTGACCGCCGTTGCCACAGCGACCGTGTCAGACACATGCTACTTTCTCAATAATTACTCAACAAGGGAGAGGAGGTGAGTGGAGGGCTGGAGAAAAGAGGGGGAAAAGGCAGAGGAGAGGATGAGAAGGAAGGCACTGCGGGCCATGAACCATTTGCACAGAATGGGTGATTAAAAGAGAGATATCAATGGAAAGAAGAGAGATGATGGTAGGAGAGGAAATGGAAATGGCCATGTGTGTGTCTTGATCTATTAATGTGTGTATGTATCATGTTAAATCATATCATTTTAACCACATGGATGGGTGGGTGGTTGGACGGATGGAAGGATGGATGGGTGGACGGATGCGTTGGTGGGTGGCTGGTTGGATGGATGGATGGATGTATGGATGGATGGATGGATGGGTGGGTGGGTGGATGGGTGGATGGATTGGATGGATGGGATGGAGGGATGATGGATGGGTGGTTGGATGAATGGATTGGTGGTTTGATGGATGGTTGGGTGGGTGGGTAGATGGATGGATGGATGGGTGGTTGGTTGGTTGAGTGGATGGGTGGTTGGGTGGATGGATGGATAGATCGGTGGATGGATGGATGGATGGATGGGTGGGTGGTGGGTGGATGGGTGTTGGGTTAGGTGGATGGATGGGTGGATGGATTGATCGATGGTTGGGTGGATGGATGGATGGTGGGTGGGTGTTGGGTGGATGGATGGATGGATAGATGGATGGATGGGTGGATGGATTGATCGATGGTTGGGTGGATGGACGGATGGATAAATGTTGAAATTAAATAAATTTGATTCAATTAAATTACATTTTATTTTAATAGCGCTTTTCACAATTCATTCAAAGCAATACTTCTTTCATTTGTACAAGAAACAATATAGAATATTAGCAGATAAATTAAATAAACCAGGGAAAGTGTGAACAGTACAGAGCCCAGAAAGGGACATGCTGAAGAAAAAAAAAATAGATAGGATGAAATTTTAGTTTTTGGCAATGTTTAGCATTCCCTCGAAAAACATTGCGTTCTCTAGCAAAGAACACAAAAGTTTTGCGAGCAAACACAAAGTTTTTTGTGGAAACATTGTAAGAGATCGCAAATGCATTGCCAAATAATTTTCCTCACATCTCATCTTTGTCCACCACCACCATGTCCCCGAGGGGCTCTGCATAAAAGTGTTTATTTTCTAAATTATGGTATTGTAGTAGTGCATATGTTCAATAATCTGCGTGCGTGTGTGTGTGTGTGTGTTTGTGTGTAAAGTAAATATTTGATCTGAGCTTTTTGGTGAGCACCAAGGTCAAAGCTGTGAGGTGCATAAATGCATTGTGGGATGCTGAGAGATTGTGTTCCCGCTGAGTAGAGATAAATCATGTCAGTTCCACACACACTCTTAAAAGCACCAGGAGCACATGTGCCGCCGCCACACCGTCATTCCTTCCTGTAGTCGCTCTTCGTCTTCCTCCACTGTGTGTGTGTGTGTGTGTGTGTGTGTGTGTTTCACAGCTGCAGGTGCCTCAGTAATCAGTTAACTGCCATGCGCGCTCTCTCTCTCTCTCACACACACAAACACACACACACACACACACACGTGCAGAGAGATACAAAAACAGACACAGATTAGGCTGCAGGTACAGTTTATACCAGTTACATAAAAGTATCCTTCTCTCCTCACCATTAGCACAGTGTCATTTGATCACGCATTAGACACACACATGCATACTAACTCAAGGATGCCCTGCAGGTGTATTCTGTGTTTGTGTGTTTGTGTGTGTGCGTGCCCAGAATCAGTTGGAAATGGAGGCTTATAGATGTGCCAGGTTTTAAACACTTCCTTGTCGTTCTGAGAGAGACTATGGCAGAATCTTATGAGAATACACTTGCATCCTTTTACACATCTTCATTTATTTTGCATATTAACAAATTTAATTATTTAGAGAGAGCATGTTTTTTTTTCATATGTGTGATTCTATTGTTTAGTAACCATGAACCCATGTTGTCCTTTTTTATTAGAATTATTACTGTCATTTAAAGGAGATATTTATATTTTATTTTATTATATGTGCTTTTGCATTGGTAACTAGAAATGATTGTGGTAAACAAACTAGCAAACTATATTTCATTCTGCATTATAGAGTATTCATAACAAAAATGAAATTAACTGTTATATTTTTATTAAATAATATATGCTAAATTATTTTATTTATTATTTTATTAAATTAGGTATTTCTTAAAATTCTTGTAACTTTTATAAACTTTTTTTAAAATAAAATGATATACAGAAGTAAAATGTTATATCATTTATATATCATTTATGATCTCATATCCTTAATGCGTGTAGTGTTTCCCACCGGTCACTATTGTGACCGAGTATAAACCCTAATATATTTCACTAACATCAAATTAAAAAGGGCATAATGTTTGAGTGTTAGGGAGGTCTAAGGAGTAAAATGCATGCAAGAAAAATCAGTCTGGGAAACATTAATGTAACGTAATAGCCTAGGCCCTAATGTACTTCATGTTGTTTCTTCTCTTTGTATTTTTAATACACATTTTCCTATTCAAATCAAAGTGGGCTAATCTAAAAATAATCCAAAAGTAGTCAGATTATGACTTTAAATAGGTAATGTTATAGATTTTTTTTGTATAGTTTAAGACTAAGTAATCTACCCAACACTGATTATAATTATTTTGTTTGTAATGTTTTTAAACTTTAAACAAACACTATAGTGAGTAGTGACTAAAATAGATCTAACAGACAAAACCCCTATATTTGCTGGATTTTAGAAGCTAGTACAGACAACATTTACATAGCATTCCTATATGAACACACACACATACACACTCCGTGTGGCATGACCCCCGTCAATAGGAGGTCCGTCACCCTTGGCTGTGGCTCTGCCTCCGGGGCGGGTCAGTGGAGCAGGTGCTGCTGCTGCGAGTCTCTAAGCGCCGCCTTCACTCACTCCACTGCGGCTTCACTCGGCGCTGGAGACCGCTGCCTGCTGCCTGCCGCCGGAGACACGACATGGATTTACCTCAGCACTAAAAACGTGGGAAATACGCTTTTCTTCCGTGTTAAGGTGAGTTCTCGCACGCGGGGCCGTGATAAAGAAGCTTCGGCTGAAGTGAGCTCTGCTTTTGGGTGCGTTTGTTACGGACTCCATCGCGTGCCGGATAGCTCCGTGATGTGGGGCGCTTTGTTTTCATTCATAGTCGTGCGTGGTCCATCCTGCAAGTGTACAATTAGCTTTATATTTGTTATTTTTATTCATTTAGTTTGCAGTGGTTCTGTTCGAGCCTGGGATTCGGATCTTCTATTAGAGAGATTGATTTTATTGGCTTTGTTTATTAATTTTTTTTTAAATGATATGCTTGATGTGACCTTTGGCTTTCTGTTGAGACTCATTAATATTCAAAACTATTTAACAGTCTTCTCTTAGTGAAATGTTGGATTTTGAGGCTGTGCTTAAGGGAGTCGTGGTGAGTTATATGACCTTCTGCTTTTCTATCACCTCAAGGTTAATTCTCCATCCATCTCGGGCATCTCTTCTGGATCTTGTGCAAATTAGTTTAATAACTAAATGGATTTGTCCAGGGAGGAAAAAAATGCTTAATGGATCAGCCTGATCTCATAAAGCACAGAGAGAACTCACTAAAACAGTTGAATGTCATTTTTTAGACAGATTTTAGGACAGAATATGTATTGGATAGGCTAGCCTGATTAATCTGCTGTTTTTGAAATTTACAATCAGTCTTGTCTATGAATAATAATAATTTTTATGAATTTTGCGTAAAATAAGTGTTTCAGAAAGAAATAGTATCCAACTTTGCAAATATCATTATCGTCCAATTAAACCAGTAACTGTTGGTTTGGTCACATCCTGTGTGTTTCACACACATAGATGTGAAGTTTTTGAAGTCTCTTGTTTCCTCTTCTGGCTTTTCATGTGGTCAAATAAATGTCAGTGTACCGTGGAAAGTCTTATTTACCCAGCAACCTGTCTATATATACCTATGTGTTAACAGACAGAATGTGAGCTGGATTATCCAGTCAAACTGAAAGATCATTTTTAAATAACTAATGGCTGAGGTTTTATTTGATTAGGTGCGAAGCTGAAATACAACTTGTAGTTTTTTTGTTAAACTGGAAAGACTGGACGAGTTGGGTGTTATGAGGAGTAGTTGTTAAATGCAAAGTTACAGTAATTACACGTTCACAAACCACACATTAAGGCTTCATTAAGTCAGTAACAATTGCAATTTAAGATCAAATAGAAAAACAACTTCTAATGTCACTGCTTTAAAATATGCTAATGCAAAAGCACAATGTAAGTATAATATTGTAAAATTAAAAGATTGTTTTGTGGTACAATACTACACTAATAGTTAGATTGTTAGTGTATCATGGTAGAGGATCTATGTGTGTGTGTGTGTGTGTGGTGGGGGGTGGGTGGTTAGCAGACGTGCTGCTATAAAGAAAGAAACTCCTCATTGACCATCTGACTCCACCAGACTCATATTTACTCATTAACCCGCTTGAAAACAGATATTTTTATGTTCTTGAATGCTGATTTGACTGGTCGATCATTCGTTCTTCGTAAGCAGTTACATTTGCCTGACAATGTCTTGTTGTAGGATGGGTAAACAAACAGGTGTAAACTATGTGCATTTAAAATTATATTATATTATATTATATATTTAGCAATCACCTTTATCCGAGGAAGATAAGCTAATTGTCATTTTTCTGTTGGGCAATTTTTTATTTATTTAAAAAAATGGTATATTTAGTATATAAGTATATATTTTTTTGTTATTTAATGTACTATGACTTAAAATCTACACTTTATTGTGAAATGCAAGGCTACATGGCAACTTCAGCAGCTTGGTTTTGTGTTTCAGTAGTATGTTTTTGATAATCTCTGGTTTTCCGATTGATTAACAGGGTGTTGTGGATGGATTATAAAATGAAAAACCTTATGCCAAGTGTGTGTGTGTGTGTGTGTGTAGTCAGCAGGGTTAAACCCTCAGAGACGGACTGTATCGGGATTAGCTCAGATTTCTGTTGCTCCTTTAACTGATGTTTGTCAGCTGCTATATACACACACACACGTCGGGTGTTTGCACTACAGTGGTCCTCATTTTGGACATGTCTGTTGGGCTGAAGTGACAGGAGAGTGTTAAAACTATTAAAAATAATGTTGGCATCTTAAAACTTGAGAAAAAAATCTGCCCGAATTATTAAATGAAAATGAACTCATAAATGTATCACCTTTTAGCCACCCCAGGCGTACAGTATATGACTATTTTCTTTCAGTCAAACATAATAAGAGTTATATTATATTATATTTAAAAAAAAATTCCTGGCTCTTTCAAGCTTTTCAAGTTTTTGAAGCCCAAAAAAAGTGCATCCATCCATCATAAAAGTAACCCATTCTGCTCCAGGGGGTAAATAAAGGCCTTCTGAAGTGAAGTGAAGTGATGTATCATTAAAATATCCAGTTTTGGGGTGAGCTAACCCTTTAAAAGAGTCAGAACAGAAAGTTAATGTGGCCTTAAAATAACCACATGAAATAAGATGCCATGACACAGATACGAGGGGGGAGAGACAGTGGTCAAAAGCCTGACTTAATGACCAAAAACATATGCCTCTAGTTGTCCAAGACAGGAAAATACAAGAGGAACACCATCTTTTGTATCCTATATTTGACCTCAGAAACCCTATATTTTCAAAATGACCAATCAGCACTGCGTACATAGTGACAGTGGGCATATTCCCAAAGCATAAACACTTACCCAGCATACTTTGATGTCTGTCAGCAGTTTTAGGGGCTTACAGATGCCAAGCATCCCTTCAGATGGGACAGCGTGGGTTGTAACAAAAGCTTTCACTTTTTTGCTAGACATTTCCTGCTGCTCAATCACACACAATGCTGTGGGTTCAACTGCTAAGAGTATTTACTGTAAGCTCCAGTAAGTGTAAACTTTATAACTTCTTTATTCTGTTGAGCGTCATTTTTAAAAGTCACAAACGTCTGAGCTCATTGTTCGAAGCTGATTTGGATCTCTTGGAAATTAATGCATTAATTCTTTTGACAGTGAAAAAACCCTTCTTTGTCATATCATTTCTTTGAATAAAATGTGTACTTTGTGCATTTGAGAGAACTAGAGTTCTGTACTGTATCTGAAGCATTATGTAGTTTAATGTGGTAACTTTGAGGTACAGTACCTTGCATGTTTGATGTGGTTCTGTGTGTAGAGAAGTCAAGTAAAACCTAAAGATTACTCGCATTCTCATTTGCTTTTCCTTTTAAAACAAGGTGAAAGTGTACTACTACTGCCTGTAATGCTTGATTTATGTTCATAACCCTTTCAAAATGACTAACAAGAAAGTAAGTACGTATGTATAATTACCAGAACAGGAGGCTGAGGATATGGGTCAAGTGCTAAGGTTATACCACAAGAGCCTTGATTATAAAGACCTGCAAATGCTACAACAGTTGTGTATATATATGCTCAGGTGTCTAAAGATGAATCATCTTGAGTTTTCAAATGAGTCAACAAATTGCATTGACGATGGATAGGAACATAATGTTAAAAAAGGAATTTGAAGTATGCTAGTAGAAAGTCTGTGGTTTTGTTTGTTGTACATATATTTAAAATATCTTGGGTGTGAGCTTAAGAAGTTTAAGAGGAGAAACCTGAAAAGGTGTGTCTCAAGTTTCTAGGTTCAGTGTTTTTTTTAGGAAAACTTACAAAATGTGCCGTGGGGAAGGTACTCCGACCATGACCAAGGTTTGGAAACACTAGGAGAGTTGAAGTAGCTTATCCATGGGGTGTGTGTGCTGTGTTAAACAATTTACATTCAGGGGCCTCCAAAACCTCAGACTACCAAAATTTGCTTAACATCGGGACCCTCAGTGAATACAGTGCTAACTGACCACTAGGGCCTGTGGGCACTTTGGTGCAGACAGAGACTAAGGCCCCTCAGAGAGTCTGACCTAAACATCAGGCACTTTTTTTTGGAAATAGGCTCATTTTACAACTCCCCACGAGTTAAACAGTTGGGTTTTACCATTTTTTTTAATCCGTTCAGCCGATTTTCTGATATTTAGAAGAATATCAGTAACCAGACGGTTTCTGGTCTCATTGACTTCCATAGTAGGAAAAAAATATATACTGGAAGTCAATGAGACCAGAAACTGTCTGGCTACTGATATTCTTCTAAATATCAGAAAATCGGCTGAATGGATTCGAAAACGGTAAAACTCGACTGTTTAACTCTGGGGGAGTTGTAAAATGAGCCTATTTCCAAAAAAGTGGAGTATCCCTTTAACTCCAGGTCACCCCCGTAGACACGTGCCCAGGGTCCCCCTGTGATAGTCATTCTGCCCAGACAGAAATGGCATCTTAAATTTGATTGACTTTAGGGACCTAGAAAGAGGCATAACATAGAATTTCCGTAAATAATATAAAGTAACATGTTTGTCAACAACAGTCCTTTGGACCCATATCCCATTGGAGTTTTAATTAGTGAGACATCTAAAACTTTCTGGGAGGTGGTGTCCCCAGGACTGGAGTTGACAAACCCTGAGTATTGTTTGTTGGCTAAGTTGGCAAAAAATGCCCCCCTTGTACTTGTAAAGGAACCTAAAGCTTGGGAAAGCTTGTTGTCTAGGACAACAAAGGGTTTTTTTTGCACCTAGAGGGGCAAGGAGACCGTCACCAGAGATAAAGATCATGACCTTGGGAAAACTCGAAGAGTAACCTAGGCCACGTCCACACGAAGCCGGTTCGTTCCCTGCACTGTAAAAGAAATATTTTCATGATTTGTAATCACAACATTTTTTCTTTTGTCAAATCAACTTAAATAATTTATGTAGTTCAGATAACATAATATTTTGAGTTTCTGATGATTAAATCAATCTCCTTCATTGTATTAACTCAATTTTTCCATTTCAATGAACTTAAAATTTTAAGGCAGCCAGGTTACTTAATTTTTTAAGTTAAACCAACAATATTTATTTATTTATTTATATTTACAGTATCCAATTTGTTTTCCTCGTTCTTAAAAAAAAGTCCG